GTGTGAAGGTAGACATGGCAGCAACTACGGCATCATTGGCGAAGCCTTGTGAACCGGAAATCCTCAGCAGACAGACAGACAGACAGACAAACGCAGATCATGGCGTTGTCCGCTGTGCGAGGCTGTACTCCCGTCGTTTGTCGTCAGCAAGAAAAGTGACTTTGCCTGGCCATGTGTTTTGGATGCGAGGCGGTAGCAGAGTGGCCATCGCCGCGCGTAAGTTTGCCGAATGTAGGACGTGCTTTTTATTGTGTTTATGCTCCGTTGCCATAATTGTTGGAGCGCATTTTTGGCACACGGGATTCATCGCTGAAGGATGGTTTTTCAAATGATTCCGAAAATGAGACCGTCGCATTGATTTGGCAAAGTGACGTCTTTTCGCCGTTTCTACGATCATACGTGACTAACCCGGTTTGCGGGCGACAGCAGCGGCGCGGATTTTTTCCTCACGAGGCACACCTCAAACGTCCCACTGCTCAGCTGATTGACGTCTGAGTGAACGAAGTACCAGAGGTCAAAAAAAACGAAGCAGTGAACCATGGCACAAGCATGAGGCAGTGGGCTACAGTACAGCGTAACCAAAATCATCGTGGCAAATACGAATGAGGCTTGAGGAAAACGCAAATATTAAATAACTCCGCGTCAAGTCTGTTGTTGAAGGCTAGGAACGAGTTTTCGACACATTAGTGACAGCAGAAATTTATTTCTTGTGCATGCCACAGAGACGAGACTCAATGGCAACGACTCCTTGACGTAATAAAAGTTCTTCATCAAACGAACACACCTTCATCGTGACTGTGGCACACTTTGCTCACACTAGCAACAGTCGTACCGAATCGTTGTGCTTTGGGCCGTAAGATTCGAGAGATGGTTCGAAAAATGCTGTCAATTAAGTTGCTACTACGGACTGGTGAAACTTAAGTCTAGCCTTAGGCCAAGAAGTGACGTCAGACCATCCAACGTAGAACCCATAGGCAAAGCTGACAAGAAAGTTTCTGAAACTGCTGCCTGCCCACCCGAATGAATTCGAGATGCGTTCCACAACGGGGTCTCATTTCCTGGCATCAGATTTTGGTCAGCACCTTTTTGATGCAGTTGGAAGACCACGAGATATGTAATTTGCGTGCACTTATCATAAATGTAAATTGTTTTTATCGTTCACCTTGTTGCAAATTAGATTGTCATTACCGTTGTAATCTTTCTAAATGACAGGTGACCTTTTTTACAGTTGCCGATGACTCTGGGCCGAAACGAAATGTGTTTTTGTTTCGTGGCACAAACTATTTCTGGACTACTTTCTCAGTTAGCACTGTATTCGGTATCAGACTTCGATACTGCTCTTATTCTATCCTTTGGATATCTCTGTTCCTAATGGTCAACGTTGAGACTTCAGGAGGTGTGAAATGACGAATTCGGATGCAAGGTCTGAACCGAATCAGTGACATGGAAAGTGTTGGGCTAGGTTACGGCGACAATGATTATCGCGGCATTTACGGTTGGCAGACTTTGAGGAGCGCAACTCTGACTTTGCTAATTCTATCTGGTATAATCAGCTCTATATTGCAGCAAATGCAGTTGTAAATATTCTACAGTAATATGTTTACGAGATGTTTGTGACCAATGAGTCAAATACACCATACACATAAGTATGCGTATCATTAGAAAGTTAGGATTGATCCATTTTAGCCTTTTTCTGTCACTTCTACGTATTTACACGGCGCAGCTGCACCTAGCAGACTGGGGGGCTGCTTACGCAGGCCACAGTACCATGCCGTAACATTTTGCCATTTCGCCCTTTATTAATCAATTTTAATTTAAAATATTTATATGCGTCGTGATTGACGGTTCTTCCTGTTTCTTACTGGATTGCTCTGCATATGGATTTTATTCCAGAAATTACCGACGTTTCGGGCCATACTTTGCTAGTCGCCAAGGTAATAAAGTCAAGTCTTTAAGATCGGAATCGACCCCGTAGGGGACAAAGTTCAGATGAATGTTGACAAGCTATTTATCAATTACTGTCGTCCACATATGAGTCTATTTTTCCTGTTCAACCATTTGTTGTTCTGCATGTACAGAACGTCTTTGATATGCTTTTGCAGATTAACACAGAATTTAATTTTCGTTCATTCATTAACCTCTTTTAGTCGTCAGTGTTTTACGTGAGGTCAGTAGCGTTAATTTTCTCGTCCGCAGGTGAGGTGATAAAAGCCCAATGCTGCTAGTTTCTTTGAAAA